CGTATTAAATAAGTATAGATCTTTCTTGCAAATTGTCAGAAAAAGTGACTATACCAACTTCGTGCAAAACAATAGAGGCTATTGCAGTTGAAGCACGATCAGGACGGTCGCTAACCAAAACAGTAGAGTTAAAGTTCATCCTCATTTGCTTACCATGGGTCTTTTTTTTGGAAGTTTAGGTAAAGATCCTTGGTTGCTGTCACTAGAATCGTAAATTTTAGTTTGTGAGCACAGGGATACATTATCATCTCCACCCTGCTGTTCCATTTTGGAATCCTAAACTTCGGAATCACATGGCGTCGCTCGGGTCACTGACCCATGCTAAAGTGAATTTATATTGCTATGCGCTGTAACGAGTCAAATGGGTAGGGGGGTAAAAATAACGATTTTAACCACGATGGTTAAACAGCTAGTTATAAGCTGTTGAGTAGGCCTAGTCGTGGCACTAATGTAACCATTGCAACTTAACCTCAACGTCGTTACCTAACCTCAAAACGAAACCGAGGTGACAGACGCACCAGCAGACGACTGGGAGAGAGGAAGTAAAAACCGCCGCACTGTTTTTCGGGGAGCGTCGTCTGCTCCAGTTTTACTTCTCCGCCTTACTTCTTCATCTTCCTTCCCATTTGACTTCTTCTTGCTCTAGTTCTTCTTACGCTTTCCCTCAAGCATCAAACTTTGTTTTTTTTTGGGTTTTTTTTTGGTAACCTCTGACCAATCAGAGGTGAGCGTGAGTAGATTGAGGGTATTGTCGAGGGGTAAGAAGAAGATGGGCATTCTAACTCTGATTGTCTTCGCTTCAGGTTAAGAATTTTTCGTCGCTCGTTTTCGCGCATTAAAAGTCGTGTTGGTGTGCGAGTTCTCGTTTCAAGTGATATTTCCGCTAAGTTTGAATCTTCGATTGGTGAGTTTTACAATAATATTCAACTGTCGTTATTGGGGTTAGCCCTCAAATTCTGATAATTCCGATATTCCTAGCCAACTTTTACAGGCTAGGCCTGACCACTCCGCCATCGTTTTACGGCTTAACCAACTCCTGTTGAATTTACTTTTATAGTTGGTGACGTATAATTTTAACTAAAGTTCATCGTACGTATTGGGATTTTCCTTTTCAGGTTTTTATAACCTTTCTTTAACAGTACTCTCACGTCCCGAAGTTCGTCCCAGCAGACAGGTCTCTGCCGGACCAAGTTTGTCTAGGTTTGCTTAAGTCGACCACGTGAGGAAGCAGAAGTTTAATTTTTTCGTTTTTTGGCTCCAGGAGCAGTTTCACTTTTTTAGTTTCGTTTTTGTTCGTTCCTCACCTGGACCACTTAGGCTAACTTGTTTTCTTACCATTTAGTAAATTCGGACTCTGTGGGAGTTAGACTAGGTTAGGCCTATCTTGTTCTAACCTTGTTTGTTGCGGGTTGACGACTTAACTCCGTAGGTAAGCGGAGTGACTACTTAGCTTACTTGTTGATTCGTTAAGTTAGCTAGTAGTGTGTCATTTAGATATTTGCCCACAGAGTCAAGTCAAAATCATTAATTTCCCCACAAGCCCTAGGCTAGAGTGGTGATTTCGAGTTGGGTGTTTGGGTAACCCGCAACGTTCGTCTCGAGCTCTGAGAACCAGGGCTATCAAATTTAGGCTATCCGAATCACTATCGACTCCTGGGAAACTCCCCGCATCCAGACTAGGGCGAATCCTGGGATCTCGTTTTCATATCGGTGGCGTAATTTCCCACTTGTCGCCCGTCAGGAAAATTACTTCACAGCGCGACCGAAAGATCAATTCTGACTTCGTCTGTTGTTTTTGTCAGGTTTACTATCTGAATGTGTACAAACAGATTTTCGGTATTACATTTTGATATTGATTATTATATTTTAAATAAGACTACTACAAAATTGAGTTTTTCTTGATTTTTGCCATATTTGCAGCCGATGCGCGAGCGGAAGATATTAACATACAATACTATTATTTAAATATCACTTTATTATGGTCTTGTAGATTTTATTTTAAACTATTACATGTTAAAAACCAAAAATTTAAAAATTTCTAAAAATTATGAGTCTCATTCTTTGTTCAAACTTCAGAGCACATGCGCGACCGGAAGACAAAAACCAATATTTTTTTTATATCTTTACCCTGTTTTGTTCTTACAATTTAGCAACTTTTCCAAGGTATTACAACTCGAAAAAGAATTATTGATTTTTTTCTACCCACCCTAACGTTCATGCCAAATTTCATGAAAATCAAAAGAAAATTACTCAATTTATTGCGTTCACGGACACATATATATAATATTATATATATATATATAAATTTTAACAAATAGTGTTTTTGCCTCTGGTGACATCAAAATGAAAAAGTAAATCGGTCCTGGGTCTAGGTCTTTTCAAGCCGCCTACAGTAATAGCTTCTACCCTATTGGGAAATTCACTAAAAGGAATACAAAACAGGATTTTCATAAAAAAATTTTGATTTTAAATATATAATTAGTTTTATTATATAACGGGGGTTTATAGGGGGATTTATGGGGTAAAAATTGGGTTTTCACATTTTTGACTCTAAAAACATAGAATTTCACATTTATTTCCATTTTGTAGAGCTTAAAAAAATAAATAATTTTGTATATAAAGCGTTGTTGTATGACTAACGGTTAAGGACTAAGGAGATAATTTTAAAAAACTTTAAATTTAAAATGCCCATGTTATTCTTATGGAGAATAAATAAACTGCTGTCGTTTGCTTGTTTATGGATATATTTTAATCAAATTTGACTATTTTGTTTATTTCATACTAAGCTAGCAACATAAAAAAAATACACCTCAATTTACCTGTAACACAAACCTTGGTACTCATTAAAATTAATGTTATTTAAATAGGAAATAAATCTGACAATTTTCAGGGAATATTTTAGTAGATATCAAGCCACCAAATAAATAAAATAAAAAAATAAATTGTAAATGGAAATTTGCTTAGTCTGCAGGTTTGCTGCGTCGGGGGTATTAATTCAATAAACACGTTCCTCTGATAATCCGACCTTTTTGGTGTTCTGACCATGCTCTCGGTCCCGTAGGTGACGGATTAGCGAGGTTCTACTATAGTACCTTACTACTCTCCGCCTAGAAGATTATCGGACAATGGATTGATGGGTAGCTTTGCTGGTTTATTGGTTTTGTTGTGACAAGTTTGTTAGCGACAAGAAACGGTTTGTCTCAGTTTTGATTCGGTTCCATACCAAGAAAAGTAGAAAGCTCCGTTGTATCCATTAGAAATTTTGAACTCATTGAGCCCTTCAGGTTCGTATTCCCATAAACCCATGCTAAAAAGAACAATCATGTTGATGAGAAACCTAAACGCTAAGCAGGGCCCAAGGTTGGCTGTAGTTCACTTGGACAACTAGATCTACAAAGCCAACATGGCTGACTCCGGTCAATCTGTCTCACTACGCTAATAGTCCATAATTAATCATTTCAAACTGACTAAGAAGAATTTTCCTGTAAAAGTTACATTTGCCATGATTTTAAATAAGGCAAAGGCACATGGACAGACGCTAACGAAGGAAGGATTGTATGTACCAGATCCCGTTTTTTTTTTGCACATTCATTTGTTTGTGGTGTCAAGTGCGAGTTTTTTCATTGAAAACTATGTGTAAAAAGAAAGCCATCAACACAAAAACAGAATGACCATAACATCACTTCAAACATGGTGGACAAAGAGGTCCTTAAAACATGTGAAAATGTAAATAACATAACGTTATGTTCTAAAAAAGTTAATGGTGTAAAATGTAAACCCACATCTATTCCTGAAGTAAGGACCAATACCTAAATCAACGTTGTACCAACTACTCAGTATTAAGTGTGTGTTGTCTTGATTAAGGGGATACGCCACTATCTGTAGGCCATATTTTAAATTTTTTTTACATTTTCCAAAAGTTGCATTTTCAGATAGGTCATTTAAATGTGAACATTTAGCTAAAATTGTTTGCCAATCTGACAACTCCTTCTAGTATAAAAAAAATAAAATATAAACCGCCGCAACCAGCAATTTAACAAAATTTTGAACTATTTTTTTTTTGTTCCTGATATGTACACTTTTAATTGTGTACCATAATTATGTATTATGAAGGTATAAAATAGGGTACATTTATTTAAAACAAAACAAGTACTTTGCTATTTTTATATATAATATAAAATGATAAATTAGTGTAGTTATGGGAATTTTTCTCCTGCCAACCACCTGTTACATCACCTGCGATTATCTCAATACCGTGTTTTTTAGGTTATTATTGTACAAAAGTTTGAATAACTCCGTTAGTACTATACTTATAGTATTCAAATTTTCACCAGACCTTCTTTATATAGTAATAAAGGATTGTGTGTATAGTAAGCCCTATAGCATTACATTTACTAAAAATATTTATGTTTACGCAAAAATTTTAAATATTTTTTTCAGCTTTTTTATATTTTGAATAAAAGGTGTCCTAAAAATTTTGTTTTTTTAGTTACCATAACGATTATACACAGAATTACTCATTATTTCATCCTGAATCAGGAAATAAATAGAATATGTCATTCCGATCAGTAGTTGAAAAGTTATTCTCAATAACGACTTCTTAAAAATTTTGGTAAAAATAACTAAAAACGCATATAAATTTAGTAAATAAGTTATAAATTCAATATTTTTGTACCTAAATCTTCTAACTAAGTCTAGTATAAACAAAATATACTAACTAGGTTGACAAAAATAAAATAATAAAAAAAAAGTTGGAGATAGTGGCGTATCCCCTTAAGTGGGATTTGAGGAGGATACAGTGGGAATGCTTCACATGGGTCAGCTATTCATACAATTATTTGTGTTTTATCAGGTAATATTTCTCAGGAGTTAAGACAGTGAAAATTTATGTTTGAAACTGTGAAACACAATCCTCAGAATTTTAGCTCTAAATACAATTCAGATAATAAATGTGTTGATTTTTGCAGTCAATAAGACACAAAGAGTGCTAAAGTACTCACTCATGGAAAAATATTTTGGTTGTTTCTTCATTGAGTTTGAATTTCTGGTTTTCAACTATAGTGTTGTAGCTTGCTATCCGCTCACTAAGATGGCCGTCATGAGCTGCCAAGTGAGCGTTGACTAGACAAACCGAGGCTCCGTACAAGTCCATACGGAAAGTCACTGCACCTTTGTTGCCCTAATGGTAAAATATATATATATTAAATACCTACCCAAAGTTGTTTATCATACAATCTTAGGGCGAGCTCTGCTAAACATTGTTCAAGATTGTTTTAGTCAAAGTTGCTTTTTGTTCATTCTTTAGTAACAGACATTTTATGTTTTATGGGGTCATGATCCAACAGCATCTATAAGACATTTTTCTTGAGGAGAATATTACCACAGTGAGTAGCTTAGGCCTAACTTTGGTCTGGCCTCAAAGAAAAATAAACATTTTGTAACAGGAAAAAATACCAACGTTAGTTACAACTTTTTGTTATGAATGGTGAATTTTTCACTATGTAGGCTACTCACAAATAGAAGAAAAGAAACAGTATGGAGCATTAACATAAACAAATTACATCACTGGCCTGAATGTCTATACTTATAGCCATAACAGCTGATTTTGGACATTCCATTTAAGTAATGTTAAATAATATTTACATTCGGGCCAGTGACATCATTTGTTTATGTTTATGATCCATACAGCTCCTGATCTAATATTTGTGCTATTACTTATCTTTCTGTGTTGTTCCTTGCTGAATTGTATTTACAGCAGGGATTATACTATTCACCTAATATTGTACAACAGTAAAAGGACAACATTTTTATCAAGAAGAGGAATGAATAATCTGGTTGAAACCAATGAAAAAATTACATCATATTTTAAATTACCTTATTTTCTACTGTATGCATGAAAGAACCCCTTTTACTTTCTCCCCCTATACCATAGTATATGGAGAAAGTATTGTTTTCGTCAAAATTTTCGAGTTTGAGTTTTGAGTGGATATATTCGTTTTGGGTCCCCCTGGACCCAAAAAAGTGGTTTTTGAAGTGATGTCTGTGTGTGTGGGTGTGTCTGTGTGTGTGTCTGTGTGTCTGGATGTGTACAGAGCTAGGGACTACACCTGTGGTCCGATTTCAATGAAATTTGGTATGTAGGTTCTAATCCGTGGTATCTCCAGGCGTTTTTTTCATTTTTTTGAAATTTTGATTTTTTATGGGGATTTTCCCATAAAACCCCATAAAAAAACTGGAAAAATCGGATTTTCTCAAAAATGGCCCGAACGATTTTGATAAAAATTTAGTATGTTGTAGCCCTTTAAATTCTGAACAAAATGGTACAAATCCCATTTCTGTAAAAATTACAGTTCAAAAGTGTTCAATTATGTTATTTTCCCATAAAATAACAAAAAATAGGATTTTAGACAAAAATCCGGTTTTGATTTAACAAAGTATGTTATGATCCTTACAATTTTGATAGTTTTTGTCATTTTTAAAAAATTTTTATTTTTAATGGGGATTTTCCCATAAAACCCCATAAAAAACTGGAAAAATTGGATTTTCTCAAAAATGGCCTGAACGATTTTCATAAAAATTTAGTATGTTATAGTCCTTTATATTCTAAACAAAATGATACAAATCCCATTTCTGTAAAAATTACGGTTCAAAAGTTATGGTAAATTAAGTTATTTATTTTCCCATAAAAATCCCCATAAAATAACGGAAAATCGGATTTTTCCAAAAATGGCTAGAACGATTTTGATAAAAATTTAGTATGTTATAGTCCTTAAAATTCTGAAGAAAATTGTACAAATCCCATTTCCGTATATTTACTCTCACCGCTTACTCATGAGAAAGGTTGTTGACAATCTTATGGGAGAAAGTATGTATCAGAATGCTGATACCGTTTATTTATATTGCAGTAGAACCCCTCATATCCAACTTCGGAATAACCGACTCCTCGGGATATCGCACCTAGTGTCCAACCGAGTACTTGTTTCCTGTCAGGGGCGATAACGCTTAGTAGCGAGATCGGTTTTAAAATTGAAATGCCAATCGCGGATGTTGCCGTAATCGTGGCAGATGATCACCACTGTCGCCGAAGACTGGTGTTGCCACTGTCACAGGAGACGATAACCCAAGTCACGGAGACTGAAAGTTACGCTCACGGGTGTTGACGCGGTCGCGGGAGATGATTACTGATGTTGCTGTGCAGGTACAAGCTCGTATTCAATAAATCAAACATTTCCAATGTCTCTTGACAGGTTGAATCAATTTAAGATGCAACATATTTGGAGAGAGTTTTGTTTTCACAACCAGTTTGAGGACTTTATTTATTTTTATACTTTATTTCAATAACAAGGGTTGCGCTATTTTGATTTAATGTGAATCAAAAAATTCATTGTACAACTAAATATGCAGAAAAATGGTCTGGCAAGGTTGAGAAGAAAGTTTCATTGTTTGTCTGTTAGGATCAGATATCAAGCCATTGTTTTGACACAGAAGAATGCCACATGTATTAACACATTAGGTGTTCAAAGGTTTATTGCGGACATTTTCCATCACGAATGTAAAAAAACAATACACAACGTTTCGGGATCTGGAATCTGATCCCGTCCTCAGGTGAAAAAACTTAACTAACACAAAAAGACCATTGAATATAACGAGTTCTCCTCAAAATTCGAACGTTATGTTAACTCGTAGTAAAACTCGTGATAGGAATAAACAGAATTAACTCCCATCTTGCGGCATCGTACATCGCTCCGCCTTTTTGTTGGTTTTACTTTTCCAGGGACCGGAAGCCATTACTGTTGTCTCCATGTTTCCGATTGGTCGGCCATGTTGCTTCAGTCTAATTGGTGGAGTCGTTGCGAACGGTGCTATTAGTGTTTCATTGTGTGAGCTAAAAGTTACACCTTTTATAGATTATAGTGTTTTGTGATTGGTTATTATTTGCATGTTATATCATGACTTGACTGCTATACAGTGCATATTTTTTGACTGCTACCTTCTGTAGTGTATTCCAACTTAGGTTGGGCGTTTGTGTATTGTTAGTTGTAATGTGTTAGTTAAGTTTTTTCACCTGAGGACGGGATCAGATTCCAGATCCCGAAACGTTGTGTATTGTTTTTTTACATTCGTGATGGAAAATGTCCGCAATAAATCTTTGAACAACATTAACTCACCATCACCAACAATGAACTTCAAACAAAGAAACACATTAGGTGTTACAAATGGTTATCAATGTGAACTACTAATTTTAACTTTTGTATTAATACTAAACATTTCACAAACTGCTTTTTGGGAATCCAATATTTATTTTGTAGCCTCTATAAGTAGGCCTAACTATATTTTTATCTGTTTTTCACTATCATTTGCCATTTGCTATCCCCAGTGTTGGGAAGTAGCGCGCTACTTTTTTTGAAGCGTTAGCTGTAGCTACGCTACTTTTAAGATTTTGTAGCTTTACGTCCAAAACCCCAGATATGTGCGTTTTGTCACATTTCCTCCGAATGTTTGCTTTATATATGTACCGATTATCGTTTAGAGATTACGTAATCTTTTAAATAAGAAACCTTTCTTTGGATAAAGGTGGTTTCTTCAATAATACAAGTAATAATACTTACATTTTTTAAGTAGTTGTAGCGGAATCTTAGCTACTTTTCTCGCTACATTAACATTGATTGAGATAGTGATTTTTATCACAACCTTACGTGAACCAACCTCTTTCAAACTGAGATTTCCAAGAAAATTGGGCCTACTTTCTTGGCTTCATACAGCTGGTCGCAGTAGTTTCATTACCTATTACAACGTTCCGTGGACATGGAGGCCATTATCTGAGTGTTATCCATATTTTTGGCTCTCATTTCCTTCAATTGTTACTCTATGATTACTGTCAGATAAAATAAAATCGCTAGATGCAGACGACGTTTAAACGTTACGGGTGACAAGAGAAGCTATTGAATGCTTGCAAGTGATTGACAGGGAAATTATACAGTTATCAATTTAGTTTCCTTATTAATCGATAGTTTCAACTTTGGTTTTAATGGAAACCATCCCTAAACCTTAAAATAATCAGAAAGCTCTATCAATCTTTGCTTTCGCTGTTGATTGTAGTTCATGATCACAAGCCCTTCCTTGGTTGCATTATTATTATTACGAATATTTTTCAAAGGTTAACTAAATTAACGAAGAGGAAATTACCTGATGAGATTTAAGATATGCCTAGACTACATAATAATTGTAACGAAAAAATCTCCATATAACATGAAACTTACATTGAAAAAATTGCATAGTTTGCTCCTGCTAACAGCTCTTGTCAAGGACTATTCCTAGGCTATGCTATTGGATTAAAACGAATACCAAGTTAAATTAATAGGAAAGGAATATACCTGTTTAGTCCTTGTAAGAACAAGCCTACTATAGCCAACTTTTTACAAAGCCAAGTAGGCCTAAATGTTATTTTTACTTGACAATTTTCAACAAGCCGATTTCAGGATAAGATTTTCTAAATACTGTTTTCAGCACCAACGTTTGTTGAACCACAATTTGACCTATGCATAATGACAAAGGACGATTTCTTGACATTGAAAAGTGTTATTCATAGAACAAGTAACATATCACTATGGTTAAAAGTTACAGCAATGTCGTTTTTAACAATATAAAATAAAGATAGGCAATTAACTCCGAAATCAGGAAGCTAGGCTCTGTAACACAAAAAAGTATTTTTAAATAATCGTTTCACAGTTTTATTGTTTTTAATAGTTAATAAAAGACATCTATAAATTAATTTACATTAAAGAAATAAAATGGGCTTATCAAAAATAGTTTGGTTGTATGTCCTTTGAACTTAATGAAATTTACATATAAGATGCTTAAAAATAATGCAATATTTAAAAATAAGTACTAAATATGATGGAACACCCAACTAACTTATTTTGGTTGTGTTGTTGTAACGTTAGGTTTATGTAGTTGCAATTAATTTACATTTAGCCACTGAGTGCGTGGAATAAAACTAACGTCTTTGGAAAAGTAGCTAAAATTGTAGCTATAGCTACATTTCATTGTAGCTGTAGCTGTAGCTAAGCTACTTTCTTGGAAATGCAGCAGTAGTTGTAGTTGATTTGATTGAAACCATTTCAGAACATAATACTACTGTAACCCAATGGAATGGATTGTATCAAATAACAATTTCAAGAGTTTTTAAAACATCTTGTACCCCTAACAATATTATTAATCAAATGCTTTAGTCATTACCTGTTGTAATTTTGTAAGTGTTTTATCTATGGTAATCTATATAAATAAAATTACAGTTTTGTCTGTACATTGCCTAGAATCATGCAGTTTTTGGTTATTTTTACGTTTCATAGTCTTATCTCTATTTCTGTTTAACAGACAGACAGACAGAAAAAAAATTTCAAACTTTGTCTGTTTGTCCATTCTGTGATTCCGTCTGTAACGCCAAAATGTCATTTTACACGGCCTACTCCTAGAAAACTAGAGTACCGATCAAGGTTCTAATCATTTTTCTGTATTTACTGGATTGGTGAGAGTGTCTTTGCAAATTCCGCAACAATTTCCGATCAAGTTTTGTTAGCACATCCAAACCAAGTAAGATTAAAAACGTTGTGCCTTACTAAACCGGTTTAATTAATCGCAAGTGCAACGATTGTTCTTGAGTTTTAATCATCGTCACCAATAGCTTACAAAAAAGGTTTCCACTAATTGACGGCGCTTCAAGGACAGTTGTGTAAAGTGCAAAGTAAGAAATCACAACTGCAGTGGGTGATCGTGGATGTTGCTGCGATCTTGGAAGATCTTTCTGATTTCGCTGTGATCGTAACAGAGGTATAACTTGCAGATGTAGCTAAACTCGCTTTTCCAATGTGTCACTTTTGGTTTCTACTTACTTACATTTAGACAACAATATAGGTACTTTTAAGTACAAGAAGTAAACTACAAACGTCCAAAACCCCAGATATGTGCATTTTGTCACATTTCCTCCGAATGTTTGCTTTATATATGTACCGATTATCGTTTAGAGTTTACGTAATCTTTTAAATAAGAAACCTTTCTTTGGATAAAGGTGGTTTCTTCAAACTGTCATTAATATGTTAACATAAAAAGTTGCTTACAAATAATGGTATTAATGGGAAATAACTTTAATTTTTGAAAACTTAAAAAAAATTAAAACCAAGGGTGATTAATAACTTGGGTAGCCTACTGCACCACATGAAGTGAAAGTTTTTTTGAACAAACCATAGTGAGTTTTTAAAGCTTTACGTTGTTAACGTTACATGTTACATGTTTTGTGGCCTGTGTTTTTATTTATTTATATATTTGCCAACGGATTAACACCTATAATACAGTTGGATTAGAAGGACAGTTTGAATTGGTCGTAAGTACTATAGTTCTTTTCTTAAGTGTTAACGTTGGTTATTGGTAAACTGCTACTTTTCCTTAGAATCGGTGGTAGCAGTAAGAATAATTTTTACGTACAAACACATCACTACTGTATTTACAAGTTATCGTTAGTGCTGCACTTTATTTCTTATTAAATTTAATTGATGTCTTACTGTATAATTTTTGCGTTTTCTGTCTGGACTCCAAAATTTTAGTTTATGCTATGAAAATCATAAAACATTAGTGAAAGATTTTGTTTAGTAAACCATCATGAATTTTTAAAGCTTGGCGTTGTTAACGTATAAATGTTTTGTGGACTGAGTATTTATTTACTTATTTATATATTTGCCAACGGATTTACACCAATTTTACAGTTTGATTAGGCCTAAAACGATTATCATAAAATTCAATGACACTATCAAAACTTTAAAATAATTATGTTTTTTTTTTGTTAAAGCGTAGCAAATCCCCTAATTCAATTCTGTATTTGTGTGTGTATGTCTGTTGGTAAAGCATTAATGTCCTTATTTCTCAGTGTTTCGTGGAAAAGACTAGAGCACCTTTGTTAATGAAAATTTAAAGCCGAATAATGTGTGTAGTAGTGTGTAGGCCTAGTAGTGTATAGTAGTTGAGGTAGTATTTTAACTACTTTTAACCAGTGAGAAAAGTAACTTTCAATTACAGGCCTACCTTAGGGCTATGCCTCATATATATAAATCAATTCCTTTTATCATTATGTAGATATAAAATATGGACTAACACGATCGGGTGACATCTAATTGCGAAGCATTCGCTTTGGCTTTAAAACTGTCAGCTATTGTATTTGCGAAGGTTTATATGCATTCCTATACAGTAATAGTTTTGCCAGCATATCTGGAAAAATGCACACTAAATATGCAAACCAACTCCTGTTCTGAATATAAGGTTTCAACTTACTCCAAGATTCCCGTACGTAGAACGGGCAAACAGCTAGTACACAATAAACACTGTATTGGTAGGGCCTACTTACAATAATACCGAGTAGACCTGTTGCTGTAGTACCAGTCTCCATGTTACGTATCTTGGTGATGTGTTTCTCTTGAGCCAACACATACGTTACAATGCCCAGCAGACGAACACAGTTCACTTCCACATAGTTATGTTCCTTCAGTACATTCCTGTAAATGATTGTCATGGTGATAAAAACTATTTAAAATGCATCAACACACTTCCTTACTACATTCACATTTAGTTATCATTTCCTCAAGGCTTAGTTGGCTACACTTTTAAGTACTTCAAAATTAGGATTATTCAATGTCTCATATTACCGTACTCATAAACTTTGTTTGAGTCTCTCAAATAACTCAGTTGATGTTTAACTTTCAGCTTTTAACAATGAGCTTTCTAAAACAGATTGATATCATATAGGCTTGGTGACTAAATCAGGGTTTTGATTTTTTATTTGATAAAAACCATTGCAAATTGTCTCTGTTGTAAAAATAAATATTTTTATATAACATTTTTATTTTAATAAATTTTGTCCATAAGCTTCACACAATATACCAGAAAACAGTATTCCTCCAATTAACCATCCACAAAATCCAATGTATGATAAGTGCTAATGATAAAGAGGAATACGTTTTAAGCTGGGTTTTCCTAGGCGCAGAAGCGGAGAGCGGAATAGAGATTAACATGGCATTCCGCTCCGCTTCTAGGAAAACAGTAACATTAAATTACCTAAGACAAGTGGAGTCCACTCTCCGCGTTCCTCTCTCCGCTCTCCACTTCCGCGCCTAGGAAAACCCGGCTTTAGGGAGGTTGGGTCACTATCTTCATACACAGTTAAATGTAAGTTTAAGGTGCAAATGGCCTATAAAAATAATGAAAGCCATTACAACTTACTTGAAAGCTGTACCCCACTTTCCTGTTAAAAGATCAACTTTGGCCTCTTGGAAACTGGAACAATAATATCATTGTTAAAGACTGGCAACTCAACAAAACCATAGACACAAAAAAATTAAGTACAACAAATTATTTGGCAGCAATACATGTACCTAAGAAATAAAAATATCACATGGGTCACAGTGACCTGTGCGTGATTGAGTCCTTATTTGGCTGCTTGATCAAAATAAAAATTCTTTGCAATTCACTTAATTAATAGGCCTACACATAAAAAAATCTAACAATAACTTGGTTAAATAAGTATAAAAATTAATTTACCATACAATTATAATAACCTAGCTCATTGCTTGCATTACAATACACTTTAACTTTTTTCCTTCAATTTCCAATTTTACTGAGGCGTGGATTACGTCAAGTAAGAGTGCTGTAGAAGGTACAATAGATAGTCCAGTTATCGGTTGGTTAGGTCTAAACGAGATATTCTGGGCTGATAAGCGACTCTGTATTGTCAAGGCCTATCTCCATCAGCCAGTTAGCGATAACCCTCTTATATACACTCAGTGGCACTCGCAAGGTCCCTAATTTCTGGAGGAATATTACGCAACAACCAATTAGCAATCTGTTAAATTAATTGATTTGAGAACTCTTGGAACCCGTAATCCTATCATCACAGAGTTTCTGGTATGATAGTTATGAACTACGGGCGAGGCGATAAGGTCTAAATGAATGTATAAATAAGCTAATAAATCTTTAACATTAACATATAGCTGCATTTGAATAACGTTTCGGTTTTCTTAAGGCAGCTCTAATTATTGATTTTTGAATCACGAAAAAAAGGTTCAACTACTGATGAAAAAGCACCTCCCCAAGCTATTAAACCATACTGCAGATGAGATTGAACGTATGCGTAATAAATTCTTTTAATTTCTTCATGTCGTAAAATTTTACCTAATTGGTAAAAAACATAAATCATTTTTCTAAGCTTTGTTTAAAAAAATGTATATGGCTTTCCCATTTCAATGTAGAATCCATTATAATGCGACACAGTCTCAATAATTTGGCGGTTGCAATCGCTGCCTGCGGTGCCACATGAGTGCAAGGTTAGTCTGAGTTAGGCGGGAGGCCTTCTAGCGGGACGAAGTGCGATAGGAGAACATTTTGTTTTACTGACATTCATTGTTAAAATTTTTTCTTAGAACCATGTTTTTAAAATTTGTAATTCTGATGATGTAATTAAAACCCTCTTCGCAAGTACGTACCCTAAAGATTACCGCTGTGTCATCTGCAAACAAGAATATTTTTCCAAAAATATCAATTTTATCAATGTTATTTATGTAAATTAAAAATAGTAAAGACCCCATTGTAGAACCTTGAATAATTCCAAAATCTACATTCATTTGATCACTAATTGTGTTATTAATTGATACTTCTTGAGTCCTATTGCTTAAAATAACTTTTAAACCATGTCAGGGCTAAACCCCATACTTCCAAATATTCAAACTTTTTTAAAAGAATTTTCCTATCAATAGAGTCAAACACTATAGCAAGATCTATATACAGTGGAACCTGGATAATTCGAACTTCTTTAATTCGAAATCTTCTTTAATTCGAATTTTTCCCGTGGTCCCTAGCATTTTGTATTAAAACAATGCTAAAATAACGTGGATAATTCGAATTTTATTTTGGATAATTCGAATTTTTAAGTGCCAAATCATTAAATTATTACTCTAAATATATTCAAAAATAATAAATAAAAAACATATTCCAAGCCACATTTGACTAAATGTTTGCGTTAGAACAAGTGCCAGCCCTCGCGCGCCTGCGTTTAGTCTGATGACTCATACCTCCCCTCCCGCCACCGCCCTACAGGTCATTGTACCCTACACTCCCTTCCCCTTTCTCCTCTCCCACCCACCACCACTGACCTCTTTTCAGTGTCGCATTGTGCGTGGTCTGTATCGGTTTGCGTGAAGGCCGTTACCTAACGTAGTTTTGCTGTTGTCTTAGACTTTTAGTTTCAAGTGATTACGTGTACAGTACTGTAGTTTTAACGTACCGTACTGCACTACTGTATACATTAACTTTTAGTGAGTGTAACTGTGTAGTGATCATGGCATCAACCTCATCGAAAAAACCAGGGTCTTATAAAACTTTGACATTAGCTGAAAAAGTCGCTGTGATCAAAGAAGTGGAAAAAGGAGTCAAGAAAAAATCTGAAATCGCGAAAGACTTTGGAATTCCACCCAACACCTTATCAACTTACTTAAAAAATAAACATAAAATTCTCAGCAGTGCAGAGGAATTTGATAAAGACAGGAAACGATCGCGAGAGCCAGGAAATCCGGATGTCGACAATTGTGTGCTTAAATGGTTCAAGCAGACCAGAGACAAGAAAGTTCCTGTGAGCGGTCCTTTGATTAGAATCAAGGCTGAGCAATTTGCTAAAGAATTAGGGAAGCAAAACTTTAAAGCTAGCACTGGGTGGCTGGATGGTTTTAAGGAGCGCAATAAAATTTTGTTTAAGGCAGTGTGTGGTGAAAGTGGGGCGGTGAACCTGCAGGAAGCTAATCAGTGGAAGAACGATCTGGAAGAGATGATCCAGGACAGAGACCCGAGAAATATTTTTAACGTTGACGAAACCGGTCTTTTTTTCAAATGCACGCCCGATAAAACACTTGCATTTAAGGACGAAAAGTGCCACGGGGGGAAATTAAGCAAGGAGAGAATCACGCTATTGGTTGGTGCTAATATGGATGGTTCGCAAAAGCTGCCTTTGTTGATGATTGGAAAATCGGCCAATCCTCGTTGCTTTAAAAATGTCAAGTCTAAGCCAGTAGAATATGTAAGCAGTTCTAAGGCTTGGATGACAAGTGACCTTTTTGCGAAGTGGCTAATGAAGTTGGACAAACAGTTTGTTAAAGAAAATCGACAGGTTCTCCTTTTCATTGACAATTGCACGGCACACAACACCATACCTGTCATGGAAAATGTCAAAGTGGTTTTTTTCCCAGCCAACATGACCTCTGTTGTCCAGCCCATGGATCAAGGGATCATAAAAAACTTGAAACACTTTTACAGGGGTTTGTTGGTCGAGAATATCCTGTCCGGGGAAGGAAACGCCCTCAAAATAAAGCTGGACATTTTAGAAGCATCGCGAATGTGCAAACAAGCGTGGGACAAAGTGAAGCCGGAAACAATAAAAAACTGCTTCAAAAAGGCAGGTTTTGTTAAAACCGACGAAGAAAGCGCCGAAGAAACTGTAACGGACGAAACTCTACCAATCGACGGCTGGGAGGATGTGGCACCCAATCAAACCATCTTGTACGAGGACTTTCTTAATGTAGACGAAAATGTCGCTGTGTGCGGTGAATTAACTGACGCCGACATCGTAGCAGAAGTCCTCGACACCGAGGAACAAAATGACGATGGATCGGGGGACGAGATCGTCGGGTCACCGGCCGATGAAGAAGAAACGCCAGTACCGAATGCAGCCGACGCCATGACCTACCTGAGAGAAATTCGGCGATTTGTGGAGAGCAGAAATGATGTCGGTGATGTACAGTTTAAATCATTAGATGTTTTAGAATCATTTATCATGGCCGAGAGATTAAACTCAAAGAAACAAGCCAAAATCTCTTCTTTTTTTGTAAAACAATAAATTAGATTTGATATGTTTTTTGTTTAACAATCAGTCAATACGGTCTCCAAACTTTTAGTTCTCTTTGGCCGATATTTTTCTATTTCTGTCCTGTTGTCCTGTATAGGGCCTATTTTGCTTAATATTTTGCTTTGGACTATTGGTAATCGTGTGAAGTTTGCGTGCAGTTCAGCTATTGCTGAGGACATTTTAAGGTTAGTTAATTTTAGTTTTGTACATAATTTCGTTGTCGTTTGAGCGATTGCAAGTTATTTTTATTGTATACTATTACTGTAATAGGCATTATTCAATAAATTAATGTTCAAATAGTATCAATAAAGTTAATAGTTTGAATTTAAAACGTGTTTTTATTGTTTACGGCCCTGGTTATAAGAACTTATTTAATTCGAATTTTTGGATAATTCGAAGTTTTTAGCTGGTCCCTTGAGGTTCGAATTATCCAAGTTCCACTGTATATACATATATATATATTAGGGATGGTCAAGTCTCAAAATTTCGGGAAATTTTCAGGAAATTTTAAATCTCGTTACACGAGACGAGATTTCTTTTTGGCCAAGATTTTTATCGAGACAAGAATAAAAAAAAAAAAAAATAAAAAAAAAAAAAAAAAAAAAAATTAAAAACGCCTGCAGAAAGTCAATGCAATACCCGCAATACAGGAGCGTGTTGTAGTTGTGTTTCCTTTGCGAAGGCGTTCTTATTTAATTAATTCTTTAACCCTAGGAGTGGCGAGACCGATTTTCAGTATGTGCTTTGTGGAGTGGCACTCTCATTTTGGCGAATTTGTAAGGGAGTTCTTAAAAAATCTGTATAAAATTAGTATGTAGAGATAAACTATTGAACCGTATATTCATTTTGTTCGTAATAGTCAGTAGAATTCAAAAATGGTAATACAAACCAATTTTAGAAAAGTAGATTTTTAGAAAAAAGTAAAAAAAAGAAAATTTATAAATTTTTCAAATTTTATTTCAAAAGCAAACACGTGTCACATGTAACGTAATTTTTTATTGCACAATTCAAAATATGCATTTTGTTCAAAATTTATTCCTCTACATAGACATATCATAATATACACAAAAGAATTATTTTTATAGATTTACTAGCAATAATACGGAAAAATTGGAAAACGTCAATTTCTTCAACTACACGTTGATAGATCCACAAATGCCCTCTACTAATAAATCAATATGATAAAACCATACATTTTTTGAAGCCAATAATATCATTCTATATAAGAATAACTAAATAAGAAAAGTAATAGAATATTTGGTTTTCACAAAAGCAAAAATGTAAACAAAACAACTAATCAGCTGTTATAGCCCACAAAACTTCACTAACTTTTTATCCTATTTTGGATCACACATGTATAAATATTTATGCAAAATAATGCATAAAT